GGGTTTTAAAGTTTATAGTACACCCAAACTGTCAAAACTTCACACGGTTTTAGTTGCACATATCACAGGGCATTTTCCAGATCCAACGCTGTACTGCAGACTGATGTGTTACACCGAGTGTGGCTGAGACCTGCACAGGCAGCTTGTGATAATTCTATAATTTATATGAACTTTGTCGTTTCTCTATACTCGATGCATATTGTTTTCATTCACATTTATCAATCTTTTGCAAAGGAAGGTGTGCGGGTGGTGGGGTGTGGGGTGTGGGGATCTGGAGGTTGAAGGTTCCCCCTGCTGTTTGCGTATAGAGAGTGTTTGAAAAACTGTTGTTTTCGTCCGTACTATACAAAGCACTTACATCATCAACTCAACACATCGTTGGCGTAATTTGCAACTAAAGTTGAATGTCACCCTTCAACTATATATGTATATATATATATGATACTCTTAGATGACCGCTTTGCATTTAGTCCCGTACAGTGCCATCAAACGAATGCATTCGCGTTTACAAAGCGTGAATTATTCTAAAATAAATTGCTTTCTGTTTTGGAGACGAGATCGAGAGACGAAAGGTGTGTTTGATAAGAGCTGTGCTTTGGTGTGTTTAACCCCTTAACCCCCTTAGAGAGGGGTGGGTGGGTGGTTGTGTGGTGTCTGGTGGTGGTGGTGGGAGAGAATCTCTCTTTAAATGGATCTGAGCAATTGAATTCTTTTGACGCGGCCGTTTGCGCTCTGACCTGATGGATGGGTTACACAGTGCGTTATGGCGAGGAGGAGGGGGTGAGGGGGAGGGAGGGAGGGAGGGAGGGAGGGGGCATGTGGAGGGTAGGGGGAGGTCAGATCTCTGACTGAGCCAAAACTACTGACTTGACTATCCGGGTCACTCCAGCCGCATTGCAGGTGGCGAGAGCAAAGCAGTGGCTAATCTGATTTTTTTTTACCCCAAAATAAATAAAAGGTGTGTTAAAGCTCCTCCCTCTCCCTCTCTCTTTCTCTCCCCCTCCCCCCCCCCCCCTTCCCTCCCTCTCCCCCCGCTCTAAATGTGCGGAATAAAGGGATGAGCGGCTCCTCTTGGCCGCCCGGCTCAGGAGATGAATCACACGGTCCATATTTATATCACGCACTAAACTGCGACACACCGGGTTATTTATAGCGTCTCCTCCTGCTATTTTATCCAGGATCGGTATGAGCGGCAAATGTCACACACCGGCTTCCGAATTAGCTATCTGTCTGTCTGTGTGTCTCTCTATCTGTCTGTGCATCTCTCTATCTGTCTGTCTGTGCATCTGTCTGTCTGTGTATCTATCTCTGTGTATCTGACTGTCTGTGTATCTTTCTCTGTTTGTGTATCTGTCTGTCTGTGTATCTGACTGTCTGTGTATCTGACTATCTGTGTATCTGACTGTCTGTGTATCTGTCTATCTGTGTATCTGTCTGTGTATCTGTCTATCTGTGTATCTGTCTGTGTATCTATCTCTGTCTGTGTATCTGACTGTCTGTGTATCTGACTATCTGTGTATCTGACTGTCTGTGTATCTGTCTATCTGTGTATCTGTCTGTGTATCTATCTCTGTCTGTGTATCTGACTGTCTGTGTATCTGACTGTCTGTGTATCTGTCTATCTGTGTATCTGTCTGTGTATCTGTCTATCTGTGTATCTGTCTGTGTATCTATCTCTGTCTGTGTATCTGACTGTCTGTGTATCTGACTGTCTGTGTATCTGACTGTCTGTGTATCTGACTGACTGTATATCTGACTGTCTGTGTATCTGTCTGTGTATCTATCTGTCTGTCTGTGTATCTATCTGTCTGTCTGTTTGTGTATCTATCTCTGTATCTGTCTGTCTGTGTATCTCTCTCTCTCTATCTGTCTGTCTGTCTGACTGTCTGTGTATCTATCTATGTGTCTGTGTATCTATCTGTCTGTCTGTGTATCTATCTCTGTATCTGTCTGTCTGTGTATCTCTCTCTCTATCTGTCTGTCTGTGTATCTGTTTGTCTCTCTGTTTCTCTGTCTATCTATCGACCGATCGCCGCACTTGTTTGTGATGTCGAGCCTGTCCCTGTTTGTCCTTGGCGCACGTATCCCCTTTTTTTCTTTAACAAAAAACAAGAAAAAACAAATAAGACACACATTGAAATAAACACGGAAGGAGTTAATCGATCCGATCCCGAAACGGTGCGATAATAATAACAATAATAATAATAATAATAACAACGATAAAATAACCCCCTCCCTTGAGAAGCTCATCCCTCTTTGTTGTTAAAACGCGTGTTGGAAGATCCTCTCCGGCGCGGAATAACGACGAGGAAACAAGAGTTTGAATGCTGCTTTGCAAAGCACAGCGGCGGTGGAGAAGGGCTGTGGTAACTTCCTGACGTTTCGGTTAGTTTTAGTGGCTCTTAGTTAGCGTCGTTTCGATAGGAAGCGCCAGGGGACGCTCCTGTAACTCCAGCTCCTGACACACACAGTCCTCACAAGGCTCTCACACACACACAACACACACACACACACACACACAGCCAGACAGGCAAAGGCTACACACTGCAGCTGATTCAGTGCACTACTCCCTCCTCAAACCCACATTTCATCCACGTTTTCAGTCATGTGGAGTGGGTTTGGGTGTTTTTTCTGTCCTTGCGAAGAGCGCACCTAACCTGCCGTTTCGCATTAAATGCACTCAGAAAAAATTGTGTTCGTCGAATAAATGTTAGGAAAATACACTCACGATCGCAAGGGTTTTTTTTTTTTGGGGGGGGGGGGGGCGGGGGGTGTTTGGGGGGATTTAATTGCTACGGTGTCGCATTGCAATTTCTGTGCAAGAAATTGTAATTTCGTATTCATAAAATCTCCGCCAGGCCCACGCAGTATAACGCTACTGTCAATTTGAAATAATAAAACGAGCAGAATAAAGCGATATAATTTAATAACTAGATTTTTTTTAAAAATCCCTCGTTGTGTCAATTTGTTCACGTCCATGAGAATCTTTGTGGTATGCATCGTTGAACACTAGAGAAAGCACTCACCGATTTGTTATCAGGCTGGAAGGTGTGTGTACAAGTAGCTTGTGGTAGTTACCTTCTTGCATCTTTCCTCGAGATGCATTTATTTTTCTTTGATGGCTCTCAGTTGGAGATTGGGAACTTCACTGTGTGTTTGAGGAATCACAAAGGGGTTGTGAGGAGGACCTGGTACACTGCAGTGGTGCACACTGGACTGTACCAAACTGTGATCAAGCACTGGTACATTGTTATATATACATATATGTATACACTGTATGTCTCTGTACAAACAAAACAGATAATAGTGGCTTGTCCTGCTGTACAAGCTTCACCACTGCATCCGAGTACTGTTCGGTGGTCAGGCAAATGGATGCATGATATCCTTTGAGCAAATAACAACAATAACAAGATCACATTTGTATAGGGGTGAGGTAAGTGGAGTCTGTTTGGTGGGTCCACTAATGACACTGCTAATGCCAGACTAGTCAGCCCAGTCTTGGAGGGGCAGATGGGGACAGGGATTTCTTCCCATCCC